GCATTCCGGTTGCTGGATGTAAGCAATATGATCGCCATCATGTTTGCCTCGGTGCTGATGCCGCTTTTCGGGCGGATGATCTCTGAAAAGCAATCGATCACCCCGATCATACGGCTGAGTGCCAATGTGCTGTTACCGGCTACTTTTTTGCTGGCCGTTGCCGGCTGGACTATGGGCACCGATATTATGCACCTCCTGTATAAAGATTCGGGCGCTTATGACGGGCGCATCTTTGCCATCCTGATGAGTGTGGCACCGGCTTACAGCATTATGTATATCTATTCCACCCTGCTGACGGCCAACGGGCATATTTCATTGCTCAATAAGCTGGCAGGTAGCGGTGCGGTCCTGAGCCTGGTATTAAACCTGCTGCTGATACCCCGGCATATGGCTTTAGGCGCGGCCATCACCAGCCTGGTAACCCAATGGGTACTGGCAGCCGGTTATATCTACTACGCCGCCCGCAAAAATGAGCTGCCCACAAATCTAAAATGGATCGCCGCGCATGTGGCCTACCTGCTATTGCTGGCTGCCGGAGGTTATGTATTGTCCCTGTTACCGCTCTTGTGGTTATACAAGTTGATTTTGCTGGTCTTGCTGGCCGGGATATTGGTGCTGGTCTTCCGCTTTATATCGTTGAAAGCGTTAAAGGGATTACTGTCTAAGGGTTAATCGGATGTTCCGGCGTGATCTCCTTGACATTGGGCAATTCTTTATCCTCTCTTTTCTGGATGAGCACCGCCGTTTTATTCGGTACAATGCCATGTCCCCGTTTCAATGCATACACCTTCGTGAATTCCGCCCCGAAATAAAGTATGATCGCCGAGTAATAAACCCATAACAGGATAATGATCACCGAAGCAGCCGCGCCATAAGTACTGCCCACTTTTGAATTACCGAGGTAAAACCCAATCAGGAATTTACCGATCAAGAACAAGACGCCGGTGAAAGAAGCGCCCGCCAGTGCATCGCGCCAGTGAATATGCGCATCCGGCAAAACTTTA